TTACTTTACTTTACTTTACTTTACTTTACTTTACTTTACTTTACTTTACTTTACTTTTCCGATCCAGCGGCCATTTGAGTTCTAGCCCTTCGGCCTGTAGGCCTTCCACTAAAACGATTGGCAAGCAACAGTAGTCTAACAGGCCAACTGGAGTGTGCAGATAGTTTTTCTCAAGTTTCTTTTGCCTATTGAGATCATGGTTAAGATTAGTAAAAGAGCAGAAGGCTATTGTATAGAATATTTCCTTATCATCAACTCATTTCGTAAGTTTCACACACGGTGCGTAAATAATGTTAAAGTGTCCTAGGCCTCCTTTGATGTCAAGAGTGAAAATGGTCTATCTGTTAGGACTTGTAGAGAATCAGAACTAAAATTCCCAGACAATACGACCACTTCACTTCAAACATACACCGTTCTCACTCTTTTGAAAGGGTGCGGCATTCAGTGGATGAGCCCCAAGCAAGAGACGTCTTCCGGAGACAATGTCTGCAGCTAGGACTTTCCTACATCTCAACGTTCTGCATTCTCAAGGTAGGTCTTCATCTACAACTGTACCATTTTCCTGTTCGCGAAGCTGACATGGATGAGAGGATAGCAATGTGTTCATGATTTCTCCATCGTACTGAAAAGCGTTAACATTTCCTGTATTACATTTGTTTCTTTGGCAAAACCCATATTCACCTTTCAGGTTATTATGTTAACTCCACAAATGCTGTCTATTTGGGCAACCTCACCCTACCCCACCACATTGTCTCTAGAAACAACTCCATACTGTAAGGTGCACAGTGTATGTGGCTTTGAGTACCCATGGTTGGGTGGATCTTTGAATTTGGCCACCACTTAACATTACGAATGACGCATTAAAATGTGTCGAGTCCCCAAAAAAGACACATAAAGCCCTGGTTCTCGGAATTCCATAATTCTACAAATATTTTTTAAACTCTGAAAGAGAAAAGAAATATTGTTTAAATGTTATAGGGATGGAAAGATTAGATTGTTTTTTAAGGAATAGAAAAACAAACCATTCAATCATTCACTTCATGACTTTCCATACAGGATCTTTTAAATTGGTGTATTTTGCGTTTACGGATGGCTTTTATACCCAAAAAAATCATTTCCGTTTCCAAAAACAAGTTTTTTCTTTATGAATTTTACATCAAACAAAATTCCTTTTGGATGAATTATACCTGTTCCAAATTACAACATTTTAGTTCAAATTTGGTGCCAGATATTCAGAAAAAAATGTTTACTTGTTGCATTTATCCCACTGCACACACACACACACACACACACACACACACACACACACACACACACACACACACACACACACACACTTGTTTATATGCCAAAGAAGGTAAGAGACCTCTTTTTATTCCCTTTGGCACTGGGAATAATTGGCCAAACACACTTTCATCTATCTAACTCTAACATCTCTGTTCCATATTTTGGGAGCTCACAACTCTGACACCTGTTATTACACTCAGAGGGTATGAGTTCGATCCCAAATGAGGAAGCTTTTTATTGGGTAACTCCAGTCTGCTGGGATGATGTACATGTATGTATCCTTCTGATGACAGAGTCTGAGTTGACCCTGACAGGCAGGCTCAAAGTCAAAACAGCCTGCCTCCTACATGACCTTGATTAAGTCGTTGGGAACGTTACTAATACATCAATCCCACTTACAATCGGAACCCGGGGTATCTCGCTACTGGCAGGTCCTGTCTTACTCCACTTGGGCATGTGAGCAGCCTTGACCGTGGGTGTTGGAGGGCGGCACAGAGCCGAAACGACGGGCGCCCAGGTTCTCCCAGCGTACCCAGGACAGGCGAGACATCAAGTCTGCGAAACAGTGAGGCCTTTTGTCATTGGTACGTGATACATGTAAATGTTTTGATTCATTGAGGACGCACTTTCTACAATAGTCTTTGGACAACGCTTGCAGATAAGCTGTTTTGAGGCACTTCAAAGAAGTAGCATTACTTGTTCATTCTCACAGTACAGATGTTTCAGTTCTTATTCCCTTTATTATCTAAAACTTAGAAAGACATGCAACAACATACGGGTACATGTTAATGTGAATTTTTTTTAAAACACAAATTTTTATGTATTATGGTTCAAAATGTGCCTCAACATTTCCTTTTGTCTGTTTCTGATCAGACATATCATACTATGTCAATGGTGGAGAAACAGCACACGCGGACATCTAAAATCTGAAGTACGTAATATTTGTGGTAGATGTACATGTATGATCTTCTTTGATACAACAGCAACATCTTTACAGTCGTTTTCTCCAGGTTTTTCCTACGTACCATATATAGATCTACATGTAGTTCACTGGACCTAGTAGCCTACTCCACCTTCGGAGTGAGATATGCACGCCTAGTTGGCCGTTTTTTTCAACGAAGAACATAATGAACAAAGAGCAGTGTCACCCTTTAAGAAATAAATAATATGGTATCGACTTATTTCTCCATAATTTTATTGGCTATAATCCACAGGTCGTCAGATAAACGTCTAATGTACAATGTACACCATTGTCCATTGTGGAAGTCAAAGCTAGCTCTCTCTTTCTCTCTCTCTCTCTCTCTCTCTCTCTCTCTCTCTCTCTCTCTCTCTCT